AAAACCCTACTACTAACCTCTGGCATGTCTGAAGTGACTGAGCTAGCGTCACTCTTCTATGCTCACGTTGACTATGGGTCCTCCTTGCCACTGATCGAGATATATCTACTAACACCAAGTCTTCATACTCGAGGTGCTGAATTATGCCACAAACCTATTCTCATGCTCTAATCTGAACCACTTTAAGAGGCTCTGCCCCTAATTACACATTAATATCAAAATATAGCCCCTCAATAGACCTTCTTCACTTCAAGGGCTTGGTCACAATCGATTCTAAAGCCTAATAACTCAACCTAAGAATCTTTTTTTCTCAAGTTCATGCACCAAGTGATCTCCCTAAACTAGCTAAGAGAATTGTATTCTCAAATCATCCATATACGCCTTACTAATATACTTGCTATGGATTCGCTTGGGAACATATTCCAGTTGGGCACCTATGGTTAAGGATCCATATGTGTTAAGGATCCATACCCATGACACTTTCTTGAAAGTTTAAAGCACATTCCTTGTTGATTTTAACCACCACGCTTGTATTCTAGATAATCCAAAACTCTACCAATGCTTTTAAAATTATAAAACCCTACTACTAACCTCTGACATGTCTGAAGTGACTGAGCTAGCGTCACTCTTCTATGCTCACGTTGACCATGGGTCCTCCTTGCCACTGATCGAGATATATCTACTGACACCAAGTCTTCATACTCGAGGTGCTGAATTATGCCACAAACCTATTCTCATGCTCTAATCTGAACCACTTTAAGAGGCTCTGCCCCTAATTACACATTAATATCAAAATATAGCCCCTCAATGGACCTTCTTCACTTCAAGGGCTCGGTCACAACCAATTATAGAGCCTAATAACTCAACCTAAGAATCTTTTTTTCTCAAGTTCATGCACCAAGTGATCTCCCTAAACTAGCTAAGAGAATTGTATTCTCAAATCATCCATATACGCCTTACTAATATACTTGCTATAGATTCGCTTGGGAACATATTCCAGTTGGGAACCTATGGTTGTAAAGCCATTTCTATAGTCTTTCACTGATCAATAATATCACTTTGAGCTAAGCGATGATGCACTTCTGCTTACCCTATGGATAGGGTAAAACTATCTTAAAATTTTTACGGTATCTCTTACCCAGTGATCGGTTAAAATCTGATCATTAACGCTTGAACCAAAAAAGTCAATTGTCTAACATTTCCATAGCCTCTCTACTGGGGATTCTATTGGCAGTAACGCGCTCTGAGTAGTTAACTGAATTGTATACCTTTAAGAATAATGTCCATCATCTCTTTGAGAGTGGAAGTTATACCTCTGAAAAAGGTTTCCTTTGCGACGCTCGTGCCTAACGATACCCAAATAATATCTACCCTTGGTAGAAATCCCTTATAGTCCTTATTGGGGTGAGAGGCTTTCCTCTCTAACTGATTCTCTAAATTACGCTTGAATCTATCTGTCATTGTAAATTCTACAACATAGGATCTGGAAGGAAGCACCATCAAGATTCTAGACTTATACAAGTACTTTCAGTACCTAGGGGCATGTATTCATTGACACCTTACTAAAACCGACAACTGGGTCATAGGACTGAATCAACCTGACACTCTGATACCACTAAATGTAATACCCTAAACCCGATTAGGCCTAAAGTTCCACATTGGGCTACTGAGGCAACCTCTGATTTTCAAATCATGTTCATTTTCTTTTCAAATATACTGAATGATATCATAATTAAAACGTGAATAACTATTGTAAAACAATTTATAAAACTAGAGCTCCATGACACATAATTTAAAACCAAAATAATACAGACTCTGAGTTTCATAAATTGACTACATGAGTAAGGTTCTATGAATACATATGCCCACTAATCTACGGTATAGTAGTCTGAAGGAGACACTAGAAGTCCTATTATGATGGTGCTCCACGAACTTCTTAAGCTACTAACCTACCAATAAAAAACATCCAAAGGTTGAGCTTACAAAGCCCAAAATATAATTGCTAACTAGAGCAGCATAAGAATTTTATAAACACAAGTATGATGAAGATATGTCACTAAGCAGTAGGTATACAAATGATCTAGATCAAGTGCTACCAACATAAGACTTAGCTTTTCTATAACTAAAGTAGGAGTCTCACGCTTCCCTATATCCTCTGTTAAGGGCTTAGCCATGAGTACACCTTTAAAGGGTCTCTAACCTTAATGTTTGTATCTGCTACACATTATCTAATTATGATTCCTATGATACTATGTGTTATCTGAATGTGACTCTAATATTCACAAAGTGCATTATTTGAATGCAAAACTAACTCTGTTGTATATTATCTTAATGCAATACTAACTTTTATGTGCATTACCTGAATGTAATATTGACTCTTTTGTGCGTTATCTTAATGCAATACCCTTTGAGCAATCAACAAATCACTGGTCAAGGTCTGAAAGTAGGCTCAAGAACTGGTTTTTGTCTTCTCTTGTAAAAAAAACAATTTGGTATTTTCAATTTGAGGTGAAGTGGGTTGGTTTGGTGGTGCTCGTTGGTCTAGGTGGGATGGACTCAGTAAATTTTTCGATTCTGGTGGGTTCGAAAAAGCTAGCTGGTTCGATGGTGGTTGGTTAGAAATAGGTGTTGTTGTTTGGTCCAATGATGGTTGGTTCGACTGAAGCAAATAAATTTCACTATACGAATACCTCTAAATAACATGTTTATGGAAAAAATGAGTTTTCTCAAAGAATGTGACATCCATTGTAACAAAAAAGTTTTGAGTTTAAAGTAAATAGCATCAAAAACCCTTTTGAGTAGAAGAGTAACCAAGAAACACACCGAAACACTAGAGGATCTAACTTGGATCAAGAATGAACATTGTTACAGACAAAGACAATACAACCAAAGACTCTAACTAGTAAAGAGGAAGCTATAGGTTTAAAATTGGGAAAATATTGAAGGAATACCTCTCGTGTACACTGAAAGCACAAGGGTTTACTAGGTAGTCGACTGATCAAATATGTGGCAGTCAAAAGAGCATTCCCAAAAAAAGAATGGGAAACATTTGTAGAGAACAAAAGAGATCGAGTTACATCAAGAAGATTTTTTTTTCACTTAGCTATCTCATTTTGAGGAGAGTTAACACACGAGGTTATATGAACAATCCCTTTTTCCTGAAAGAAAAAACCCAAAATTTTCGTAAAGTACTCATTGCCATTGTCAGAATGAAATATCTAGATAAAACTCTGAAATTGATTTCAACCATCGTATGGAACCATTTAAAAATATCATGTTGAACTTATATTTTGATATAACAAATATTTGTAAAATTGATTTTGAACTTAATCAAAATTTTTAAAAATAATTCAAAGTCCAAAATAACTTGAAAATTATGTGTTCTTAATTGTTTTATATATGTGAAATATTTGAGTTAATTAAAATATGTTTAAAGTGTTTAAAATTTGTTTAAAGCTTCTTAAATATGACAAACACTATTCAATCACTATTTGACACTGTTCATGACACTATTCATACTTGGGTTTTGTTCATAGTTTAGAAACTTTGTAAGAGTTTTGAAACCTCTATTAAGAGTTTCGAAACTTTGCACCCAAAAAACTATTTTAACGACCCTATTTTTTTCAACGGTCATATTTTTAAGTAAGTGTTTCGAAACTTTCATCAACGTTTCTAAACTTTCATGAATAATGTGTTTAAAAGTTTCGAAACTGCATGTCTAGGTGGCCTTTATTGCACGTTTTTAAAGCTTCCCAATGGCTATAACTCATCCCTAACGGTCATAAATGGCTAGCAACTCATTCTACACAATAAAAACACTCCAAGGAAACATGAAAAAAGTTACTACACCTATCCAAGCTTAGAGATCAAGAGAAAAGAGTTTTCATTCATATTTCCTTTATTTTTCAGTTGTACATAAGTGTATAGAGCTTAATTGAATATCTTTTGTTTTTATTCTTGTGAGCTTAAATCTTTGTAAACACATACCTTCTGAGGTTTCTTGTTTACATTTCTTATCATTTGTAAAAAGGGAGTGGTTATAGTTTAGCCTTGAAACACTAGAGAATTGTAAAGGTTACTCTTGAGCCTAGAAAAAGTTAGAACAAATTAGCTAGGGTAGTAGATGTAGACTTTGTTTGAGAAAGTCAAACCACTATAAATATTACGTCTAATTCTTATCTTTTATTGCTTCAACACTAAAGATTTTTAAAGGCCAATTCACCTCTCTTGGCAATTTATGGTTGATTGTAAGAGCCAAAAATTGGTTTCAGAGTAGGCCACAATAGGGGTGTAAATGAGCCGAGTCGAGCTCGAGTATTGCCAAGCTCGACTCGAACTCGAAAACCTTAAACGTAGACTCGACTCGAAAACTCGCGAGCCTAAAATTTTCAAGCTCGACTCGAACTCGAAAGATAATATTGAAACTCGACTCGAAAAGGCTCGAACTAAAAAAAAATCAAGAGCTCGACTAAAGTTTGAGACTCGAACTCGATTCAAGCTCGATTTTAAGCTCGATTCAAGCTCGATTTTAAGCTCGATTCAAGCTCGATTTTAAGCTCGATTCAAACTCGATTTTAAGCTCGATTCAAGCTCGATTTTGAGCTCGATTCAAGCTCAATTTTGAGCACGATTTAAGCTCGAGGATGGGTTAATATTTTTTTGATGAAACCCATCCCCTTTTATACATTCCACTTACCCCTTATTCCCCAAGAACCACCGATGTGGAATATCAACTCACATAGGACAGTGCATTTCAACTTGCAGGTATCGGAAAGTTTTTCTTCAACTTGTTTTCTATCTTCCTCATATTCTCCGGATGACTATCCAAGCTCAAGAACTCGTTCGGGTTCCTCTGCTCGTCAGTAAAGTTGCATCAGAAATAAAATGTATCTGACGAGAATAGTACTAGCAGATCTGCATCAACCAGCTAGATCTAAAGGGAATAAATGCTTCTGGGATTGGAAAATTAAAATAAGTATCAATAAAAAAGTAATTATTACCAATGAGTTGCTTTTCTTAATGGACTTGTGATGATCATTATCTCTTCTTGCCCAACTGTTTCTAAATTTTTGCCCTATACGATGTCTGGTTGGTTGTTTCTCAAACTGTCTTTTATCTTGGGCAAACAGGGTGGGAGAAGAACTCTGTGAAGATGATGAAGGAGAACGTTGATGAGGCGGATGGGGGAAATCTCGTGATCATTGCCATCGAGAAATTGCAGCATCTCATATTTTCTCCTAAGCATTCAGGAAACACAATACTGAGTATAACAAATTAAGAATTCTAGCCGGATAAAAAAGACAATGGCAAGTTTATTTCGGCATTACTTGATGAAATCGGCACGCTCCTCATTGGATGAATCTGGTGTCAGCTTTGTGATGTTATCAGGAAGCAAAGCTTCATACTTTTTGTTTGCTACATTATTGCCACCCAAATTCTCCAGAGAATCAACTTAATCGTCTGTCCATTCCTCGGCGTCTGAATTTTGATTCGAGTCTTTTCCTTCGAGTATGAGAGGGTGATGGTTTATTTCCTAAGCTCTCGGAGTTGAATAAAAGCTTGGCGTCTTCGGTCCGTCCGGTGAGAGCACTGAAGAAACTCAAGCCATTAGACCATTTGATGTCGTTTTCATGCTCGGCCATCATGTCTTCCATTCGGGTTTCGGACGAACGAGGCATTAGGAACATGTGCGTTTCATCTTTGGGTTGCTGAAATCCAAGTCTAGTCGGGTTCTGAAAATTAGGGGAAACAAGCATCGAATTAGTTGCTGTCGGAAGTGGCCGCTGGCTCCAATTGAAGAGCGGAGGAGGTGGCCGCGTTGGAACGATGGACTGCTTGGAAGGAATCATCGGTACCAGATGGCAGACTGCTCCAAGTCTAGACTGATTGAGCACCCTTTTGTAAATCCCTAATTTAATTCTTGATTTGTATGTTAAATTTTACGTTTATTTAAATTTAGTCATTAGTTTAATATGTATATGCATGTTTAATGAACCCTAAACCCTAAATCTTAAATCATATCACATAAATTCTAAACTCTAAACCCTAAATCTTAAATCATATCACATAAACTCTAAACCCTAAACCCTAAATCTTAAATCATATCACATAAACTCTAAACCCTAAACCCTAAACCCTAAGCATTATCACATAATTAGAAGGAATGAGATGGCTTAGTGAAAGGAGAGAGAGTATACTTGTTTTGATATATTTTTTTAAATTATTAATATTTAAATTGAATCATATTTTTTATTATATTATATTTATTATCAAATAAAAAATTAGTTATGAGGTAAGTACAATATAGTATCTTGATATTAAATGCTCAAACCCTTGATATTTATGATATTTGAACTCGAAACCTCAAAATATAACAACAATTTAAAAAATTAGTTATTACAAATATTATCATTAGAAATATATTAAATATTTGTCATTAAATAAATAATTTTTTTATTAATTTATTTTTAATATATTTTTAATATATTTATTCATCAATAATGTATTTTTAATATATTTTTAATAATGTAATTTTAAAAAATCTAAAATTATAATATAACATTTTTTCGAGCTGCTCACGAGCTTTTCGAGTCGAGTATCGAGTAGCTCGTTTCGGCTCGTTAAGAACTCGAGTCGAGTTCGAGCTCGAGTCGAGTCCATTCGATCCGAGTATTTATCGAGCCAAAATCGAGTCGATCTCGAGTAGCTCGCGATCTGTCTCGTCTCATTTACAGCCCTAGGCCACAATCAACAATTTAACAACCATTTGAAGATTCTAGAAGCACTCTATAAATTTCTTATTTAGCCGAAAAATGGCTTCCACTTCCGGCTCATTCTACATGGAGGGCTCCTAACCGATCAACAAGCTTCAATACTTCAATGGAGATAACTATGGTCATTGGAAGAACGTAATGAAGTTATTCATTCAATCTATTAATCTTGGAGCATGGGATATGATCATGAATGACTATTCTTCTCTAATAAATAAGATAAAGGAATGAAGTAACCATGAACGTAAGACATTTCAACAAAACGCCATGACCATGTACATTTTATTTTGTGCATTTGGTCCCAATATATATGAAGAAGTTTTTTTATGTTCTAAAGCCAAGGAGCTTTGGGATAGGCTTGAAAAATTGCATGATGACAAGAAAGAAGAATAATCATGTTCAAACCTCCTCTCAAATCCAAAGGTGGTATGCTTTATGGCTCTTGAAGAGCCCAAGGTATATTATAATCTAATGAATTCAATTCATATTATTTTGATGAGTTACAAGATGCATATGATGAATTACTTTTGGAGTTTGATACTATGAACTCCAAATATAAGAAAATGATTTCAAAATTTAAAGGTTAAAATGATTTTCTTTTAAAAGTAAAATTGGATTTTGAAAAAAAATGATATTTTGAAAAATGATTTAAAATTTTCAAAAGTAAAAATTAAAATTTTGAAAAAGAATGCTTTGATTTAAAATTTAAGCTTGAATGCTGAACAAAAGAAAAGGAAATCATTTAAATAATTCATCTATTTCATAATGACAAAATGCTCACAATTGTCATTATCATGGTCACATGAAACATGCTTGTCCTTTAAAGAAAGGAAAATTTTTAAAATTAGAAAAGTATGGGTTTCAAAGGGAACAACAGGCATTGAAACTAACGTCCAAGGATCCAAAGCAATTTGGATACCAAAATCCAATTGAATGTCTCTTGTAGGTGTGTGGGAGCAATAGTGATAAAAGTGAAGATATTCACATGCTTTAGCCACACTTGATATGGAATGGGTAACCTCTAAGCTTATTTTGATTATCTTGCATAATTGGTTGCTCATTTGATTTAAGCATGCATGAGTTTTTTATTTTAAATAATTTTTATTTTTTCTATCTCATGTATGTTAAATAGTTTTGTGTAATATCCCAAATATCGGTTCAATGACTATATTGAAATAATTTAAAATTTTGGGGAGTTAAATTGAATAAATGGTACAGTATAAGAAATGATTTAGAAGTTGTGTTTAAGACCAATTAGTAAGAATGAAAGAATGAAATGGGAATTTTCGTCATTTAGAGGGAAATAAATTTAAAATTTATTTTAATTAGGGTATATAAGAGGAGAAAAAGGGAAATGTGAGAAATAAACTAAGTTATCTTCTCTTCTTCTTCTTCCCGTGTTCCCGTTCTCTCCATAGCCAAAGGTGGGTTTCCTCAAAGTTGGTTTTCCTTTATTTTAATGGTTAGTATTGAAACCTTGATTGTTATAGAGGCTTAAGGAAAGGTTAAAGAGGATTAAAACTAAGAGTTGGATTATTATTTGAGATAAAAGAAAAAGGGTTTTTGAATGATATGTTGAAATGAGTTTTTATTGAGGTTTGCTAGTATATTTGACTTGTCAAAAAAGTATAATAAGATATTATAAGCATTGGATGTGATTAAAAACATGTATGAGAAAGTAGCATGATTCTTGGTTTGGGATGTTCTTTGGAGAATTTAGATGTTATAAGAAGCTAATTGGAGGAAAGTTAGTTAGGTTAAATGATGTTAAGTTTAAGGGTATTGTTTGAGGTAAAAGTAAGAGATTTAAACGAAAATTTGGGTAAAAATTAAACTGAAAAATGAAAAATATTGGTAAGGGTATCGGTACTGGAAGAACAGTATCGATACTATAGGTTTAAATTTGAAGAATTACGATGAACAATATCGATACTGATGCAATTAGTATCGCTATTGTTGTGGGTATCAATACTAAGAAGAAGGTGTCGATACCATGGATTCCTGAATGCAGAAATGGTATCGATACTGAAATGGGGTTTCGGTACCATAATATAGAAGTATCGATACCATGGTAAGGGTACCAAAATTATTGAGCATGGAAAATTTTAGGTAAGAGGAATTTAGATAGAAATTGAATATAATAGTACTTTTGAGTATTATTAAAAGTATAAATGTTAGAGAGTATACTAACATTGGTATGGTATTTGTACTTAATGGATGATTGTGTAGATAATAACAAAGCTCCCAAGTCAAGCAAGAAAAAGGGAAAGGATAAAGTTATCGAGTAGTTGGACGTCATTAAACATACTAGGGAGGTATATCAGGTGACTGCATTTATTGTAATTATATGAGACGAGGAAGATTCGGAATGAGTTAACTTAGAATGTTTTGATTTATTATATGTTTTACAATATTTAATATACTTTAATAATGTGTATGGAAATGATATTATGAATAAGTTTTAGAGTATGAACTGGTCTAAAATGAATGAATAAAAGAAAATGCATAACTTTGCATTATCGACATAAAAGGTGCCATTAATGAAAATGCATAATGGTGCATTATCAACATAAAAGGTGACACTAATGAATATGCATAACGGTGCATTTTTGGCATAAAAGGTGCCAGTAATGAAAATACATAATTGTGTATTATCAGTATAAAAGGTGCTACTAATGAAAATGCATAACGGTGCATCATTGGCATAAAAGGTGCCACTCATGGTATTCATAAAAGGTGAATGACCATTTCGACACTTTGGTGCAATGTATGTACTTTACAATATCATTTAACATACTTTGGGAAAAATAAAGGATAATTGGGAATAATATACAGAATAATATAGGTATGTTGGGCATACTAAGATTAGTCTTGACGACTATATGAAAGAAACTTGGTTTAACTGAGATGGTTAACTGATTGTTATGAAGTATACGATTTGGTTCGTATTTCAATAGACATGATATGCTTATGTATGAATTGCAGTTCATTTTTAAAATTATGCCTCACTAAGTAAATACTTAACGTGTGTTGATTTCACGCGTAGGTAAAAGCAAAGACTAACCGAGTTAGGAGTGCAGCTGCAGTTATCATCAATCTAAGGTTGACTCATCAGTAACAGTAGGACAATCATGTTATTTTGAAAATTTGTTAGCATGTAATTGAATTTAAGAAAAATGCTATGAAATGTATTTAAAGTGATTGTTTTTGGTAATATGTTGCAAAGAATGTTTTATTATTATATTAAATGTTTTGTTTTGTTTTCAAAACAAAATTTTTATAAGTTTTACAAATAAGTAAATATTTCTAAAACTCATGTGACATCTGTGACTTTTGTACAAAAACGTATATAGGAAATAAGTGTTACATTTATTGGTATCAGAGCTACATGTTTAGCCAATTCTTGGCCAAAACCGGTTTTATTTGATATTAAAAAAGGGATTACATGTCATTAAGACTGTCAAGGTTACTGATATGGTGTCATTAGAGTGTGATTGATGATACTCCTTACTAACTTTAGTGTTATTATAATGTATGTTATATTAGATGTCGGAATCTTTGAACTCGCGAAGAGTGTGGGAATGAGGAAATAGAGAGGGAAAAACTATGAGAAGAATAGTGAGCATCCGATTCCATCCGAGAACGCTAGTGCACCGTCACATCAAAGTATGCCCGTGCCAGAGTTTGGAGCCTTTATGCAATCTCTCGATGCCATATTGAGTCGATTCCAACCTCTTCCACCCCCCTGCTCCTCCAGCACCAAGGATGTTGATCCCAAAAGAGCTAAAGAGTTTGGGAGCTCCAGAGTTCCGGGGAGAAGGGGATGAGGGTCCTATGGAGGCTGACTTATGGCTAAATGATGTTATGGTAACGCTTGAAAGTCTACACTGCTCGAATTTTGAGAAGATGGATGGAGTTGTATCTTTACTTCAAGGATCAACTCAAGTATGGTAGTCAAATACTATGGTGTATTTACCACCAGAACAAGTGACTTGGCAGTTTCTCTTGGAGGAATTTAAGAACAAGTATGTTGGTGAGCAGTTTAGACGGGTTATACTGCTGAAGTTCCTTAATTTGAA